GCGGCGACCTTGGATGGAGTAGGCGTGCGTGCCGGCGGGGCGGCATCACCTCCTCGGCCGCAGCTTGGCTCTTTTTACCTTTCTCTACCTTACTCTTCTTGGCGGGGGCATCTTGCGATTGCGACAAGTATCGACCGGTTCTCGAAGACGAAGACATGGTACCTGCAACAAAAGAAGACAAGTTAGAGTTAGTGGTTGATGAATAAAGACTAAGTGATAACAGAAGAATACCCATGGGTGCAATAGCAGCAGGTTGAGTCCTCACGAAGCCTAAGCCCGCAAGCTTCCACTCGGTAGTGTAATCAACGATCGATAAAAGACCATCCCCTAGTAAATCATCTACATCTCGGCGGAGGGAAGGACTCATGTCGAGGGTAGGAGGGCAACGTAAATGGGATCCCCACGTGACACGAAAGGGAGACGGACAACCCACAAGGGTGACAAAGACGTATTTGGGTTTCCAATCCTTGTTAAAAGTAGGACGGTCCTCAAAGAGTTTGAAATGCGGCCTGCTCGAAACCATGACAAATCCCTTACCCTCCTGATAAACCCTACCAACTATGAAAAGAGCCTGGAAAAGACCTAGCGTGGGTTCTATCCCTTTGTCCTTACATATAGAAAGAAATCCCGCAATCACCTGGTGACCATTGGGAACAAGCTGGCCGGGGGCTATCTCGTAGTGGTTCATAAAATCTATCACAAACCTATGAAAGGGAAACCGCAGCCCAACCTATAGCGAAAGAAGGTGGACCCCAAAATACTTATCGAGGGGTGGGTCGGAGATATTACCCTGAGGGTTAGGAAGGAGAGTCAAAACTTCAGGACTAAGGAGACCTCTAATTTCCTCTCAATCCCGTGACCCTAGTTGAGGCCGTATGGACAGGATGAGGGAGTTATCAAGAACGGAATATGAGGCCTTGCGCTTTTTCTTCTTTTTCAGTTCGGGCCTAGGTGTGGGTGAGTCAACAACAAATGGAAGAGGGGGGAAATTTGCAAAAAGTTGGGAATCATGCTCGGGAAGGTACACCTCATCATCACCATCAAAATCAAGTTCTCCGACATCAATCAAAGACGTGATATCCATTATAAGCAGAAAGACACTAACCTCACCTCGGTTACAGATAAGCTCGCAAGACTTGGGCATGAAACTACCTGTCAGGAAAAGAGCATATTAAAAAAAAAAAAAAATAAAAAATAAAAAAATGAGTCCTCGACCACGGATTGGCCGATACACAACTCGGGTGGCCGAGGCATGCGCCTCGGCCACAGCACGCCTCGGCCGAAGAGCCGAAGTCCGCCTCGACCACGCAAAAAAAGAAAAAAAAAAAAAAAAAAAAAAAAAAAAAAAAAAGGGTCGAGGCGCCGCCTCGGCCACAAGCCAAGGTGCAGCACCTCGCATCCAAAAAAAAAAAAAAAAGGAAGGCAAACATGCATGTATGCGCATATATATTAAATACATAGATAAATCGTAAAATAGTAATGACAGCGGAGACTTACAGAGCTGTGGCAGAAGTTGATGAACAGGTGATCTCAAACTGCTCAGAGACAAGGGTTTATATTGAAGAGGAGCCTGGGATAAAAAAAAAAAAGTTAAGTGAATATCATTAGAAGCTGGAAAGGATTTGGAAAGCACAAATCAGGGATTTGGAAAATAAAATCACATATCCTAAATCAATCAGGATTCTACACAGGATTAAAATAAGATTCAGCTTTACTCCCAAGTCAACTTAAACACATCCGTTGACTAAGAGTAGGGCGGACTGGTGACAGGATAATAGGGCTGGAACCCGACCCGGATCACAAGTGGGCATCCGACCTGGCACCGCATGGAAACCAACGGGCAGAATCTCAACGGACAGAATTTCAACAGGTGCCTCCTTTACTGCCATTGAAGCCAGCATTGAAGCCCCCATTGATAAGAGAGAATTAAAAGCTTAGGCTCCCCATTTATGTCCCATGTTGTTATCGTTAGGACTCCAGTATAAATGGGGCTCTCAGGCAATACTAAGACACTCAGGCAATACAACCATTGTCACTCTTTCACATAAACGTTATTCTAATATTATTATTACCGGTAACATATTTACCGTCACAAGCGTATTGGAGGCGGCGTTCGATCGTCTTTCCCTGCCACCATCTCCAACGCAGACAGTGTTTGCCTTCATTGTCTTCTCTGTCTTCATCATCTTCTCTTCCATTCTCCGCCTTCGTCACCGGTTACGCCTTGTCCCACCTCTTCATCTCCACCGTTATCGGTCGTTACTCCCTTATTTTCCCATTGTTGCTTCATTTTGCTTTGTTTTATTGGTTTAATTTTATTTGCAGTTTCTGTATTTTTCATCTCGTTGTTTTGACGAGTTTTTTCCTCTCGTTTACTTGGCGAGTTCTTTTTCATAAAGCGTGAAACGATAAAACTGATCATGGCGTATGTGAATCTCATCCTGTATGACAAACATGATAATAAAAAAAAGAGACTCCTCTCCGATGGAGATATTGTTAATGGATATCAAAATTGAAATAGATACTCATGTGGTGAGCAAGACTAACGTTTGACCAAATCAGTAAAAAAAATTTAAGTTCTTCCAAAGAATTCAGCTTCAAATTTGTGAAACAGTCTGCGAATCAAAGTTTTCTGTAGCATCACTATGGAAGTTGTTTCTATGTCTCACTGACTATAAGGGATGTTTGACCATTCTATCAATCTTTATTGTAAACGTTTCAGCAAATAATTAATGAATTAGATTCTTTATTTTCAAAAAATAAAAAATCGGCAAATGTATGGACCATGGTCTACATAGCTGTGTGGATACGGTACAAAATGACATCGTTTTGACTTTTGATATTTAAAAAAAAAAAAAAAATTCATGCTCCATGCGCTTATGTGTTAGAATAATAAACCTTCTAGGTTAAAGATTGTCACGCCCCACTTTTAGGACATGACTCGGCCATATCATTACGTGAAGACCTGTAACAATGCGAAGCCTAACCATACATACCTCTCAGAATCTTCATAATAAAACTTGAATATACAACAATTCCACTACCCACAATAGCAAAATATAATCGACTAGTTCTTCCCAAAAACTCATCAAATCCACTAAATATTTACAATCAAGAGTAATATGTCCAAAATGTATCACAACCACATAAACCAAGCACAATGGTTTACCAAAAATACAAAGGGTCAAAGGGAATATCTAAATAAACAAAAATTCATGATAAGCTCCAATACTAGGACTAAGTCTTCTAGTTTCAAAAGTCACCTTCGAGACCCCACCACTTGTGCTCGTGCTATTCACATGTCCTTAACTACTCTGAAACATGAGAAAAATACAAATAATGAGCTAATGCCTAGTAAGTAAATGGTACTCTTCTCAACTACGAATCAAGTAACCTTAATAAAATACCATAAGCTTTAGAGTAATAAATAAATGCAAATCACGATTCACGATCTTCAAGTTATACTGAAGGTCATAATATAATCCCTTCACACTTTACACAAGTTCTCAAAATAGAAAACTTTAGCTACATGGGCATAACATTATTTCATAACACAATACTTTCAAAAGCTCAAATCATTTTTTAACCCATGACTCATTAGCAACCTACAACCACCATTATCGGCGTAATGGTCCAAAAAGACTCGACGATTCGGAATGAGTCAGGCTCGACAATTCAGAATGAGCCGAATGGAACGTTCCAACAAATAATTCAAAAGACTCGACGATTCGGAATGAGTCAAGCTCGACGATTCGGAATGAGCAATTAGAAATGTTCCAAGCCGAACAGAACAAACAACAAAATGTAGGTTTCCACATGAGTTTGGTCAAACCTTCAAAATAATTCTTATAATCAAATAGCTCATTATAGCAAAAATCAATTCCTTAAAGATCACATAACAAAGTACATATCCAAAAGTAATATTATGAAATCATAAACTAATAATTGTAAAATAAATTACTTGATCCTCTTTTAAAGCAAAACACCTTAGTACAAATCATACACATACGAATATAGTCAAATATAGTCATGTTCACTTATTCACAAAATCCAAACTTAGGCATGCCCAAGGATATCCATACTCAAGTTTAATAATCCAAAAACATATCATAGTTCAAAATGCTTTTAACTCATACTAACCCTTAAATGGGCATTCAAAGTAGTAGAGATTCTGAAATAGTTTATGGGTAGGAGAGAAGAATTATCCACTCACCTAAAACATCCAAATCTTAGCTATTTAGCTCACCCAAATACTCATTGTCAAAATCCCTAATATTTTCAAAAATCAATCTTAGAGCTCCAGAGTGAAAATGGAGAGGAGGGAGGGGAAAAAAACCAAGAAAAATTAGTCTTCAAAAAAAAAAAAAAAAGAAGAAGAAGAAGGAAAAAATTATGTTAAGCACCCAACGCGCGCGTGGAGTGCAAGTGCACTGATTGGATGCTTTTGGTGTACATCACGCACACTAAGGAGTCTAGCTCACTTTTTTTCAAAAAATCAAGTTCTCATGCAACAACTCAATACATTCTCTCATCTCCCTCTCTCCTCCACATAAACATTACAACATGCAAAAACCAATCTATATTGAGGATGCTCTAAGCCTCCTAAGAATCAATCTAAATTAAATATAAGAAAAATGGTCAAATACATTATACGCCACTTAACTCAAAAAGTGTAAATAGACCCTTGAACTTTAAAAAATGTAATTAAACACTTAAATTTGTCAAAATCTAATTTATCGGTAACTAACAGATTACTGGTAAAAAAATTGATTTCGCCGCTAACCGCGGTTCACCACCGTTAAAATAATAATAATAATAATAATAATAATAATAATAAATGAATAAAATCGATGACCTTTTTCACCAGAGAAGACCATATTTGCTGTGCACCATTGTGTTCTCCTATGACATTTTTTGCATGTCAAATGCTTAATTAATTTTTCAAGAAATTTATAATTTTTCAAGAAATTTAATTATTATATTTCTAAAATAATACGGAGTACCAAATGTGTTTATTAATTTGTCAACAAAATTGTTCAAGCCAAAAATAACCCGCCACTGAGTGAGAATTTGTATTCTCACTCAACACATTATATTATACAAATCACAACATAATATAGCCACAATCTAAATAGACGTGTGACTACGGTGTCCAGTAAGCTATAGAAATTACACTGGGGAGTTTGCGTTATTATGCTAATTGCATTTCTTAAATGCTAACTTTACATCACAGCATCAATCGATCAATCATCAGTCCCATTGTGGAACTACTGGTTCTTGAATGACTGCAAACATTTTTAATAATAATAAAAAAAATGAATGGCTCAATATTTCTTGCAGCAAATATGAATCATTGAACTGTAATTTGCAGAAACCAACCTCAAAATTTTTGGAAGCATCTTTTATTTGCTCAGCAATTTCTCTCTTCTTTTGCTCAGCTACAAAACCAAAACCAAAACCAAAATAGTGGTAAAAATTGAGAATAGCAAACTTGGACTCTAGGCTACAATTCAATAATGAGCAAGTCACATACCTAATTTAGAAACCTCATCCAGTGTTCTAGATGTCCTTACTGCAAACCTCTGAAACGAATGACTAAAACAAAAGAAAAAAAAAAAAACAAAAAACAAAATTATATATAGGGTAAAATGTTAAGCAGTTCTTAGCTTATAAGTATTATGAGAGCAAAAAACTAACCCATTTGACAAACATACAGATTTTATTAAACAGCCTATAAGACACTGAGCTAATATATACGTAATAGTTATTTATCATCCTAACTCATTGCAATGACACACGCCACTAGACGGCTGTATTAATTTCTGAAACCTCAGGAAGCAAATGCAAAGTTGGCAATTTAGCTTACTATAAATTCAATACTTCACTGGGCTGGAACTTGTTAGTACAAATCACTAGTATACAAACAGCTCAATCTACAAAGAACATGTCAAGGTGTTCATACAAATCAAGTACAATAGTGAATAGTACTTCGGTAGAAATTTATACCACTTCAGGTTCCTTTACTATAATGACTTTTGTGTCTAAGGTACTTCCCTATTGAAAATCAACCAATTAGAGTCCTCTCGTAATGTTTTTGGTTAATTTCAAAAAGTAGTGAAGGTATAATGAACTTTTTCATGGTTTTCATCCTCCTTTATATATATATATATATATATATATATATATATATATATATATATATATATATATATATATATATATATATATATATATATATATATATATATATATATATATATATATATATATATATATATATATATATATATATATATATAAAGAATAGAAAAGACAGGTGGGTACTGGCCATTAGAAAATTAAAAAAAAAAAAAAAAAACTTTTGGCCATGATTTAGGCATAGCATTCTTCCTAATTAAAACGAATAGAAAAGAGGTGACCACCATCCTTGGCCATAGCAAGATCATTTAGCCATGGCCAATAGCTTCCTCCTAAAGGCCATGGCTAAAAGATCCATCAACCATGACGATAAGGCACCAAAACATTGGATAGTTTATTCACGAAGAAAGGAAGGAAATCAGGGCACAAATGGAGAGGGAAATCAGCCAATCAATCAAGCACCAGAATTGCAGGACACAAATGAAGCGTAAGTCATGGGATGGATGCAGAAATCAGGTGAAGACAGATTGCTTAATCGGTATTGTTTACTTAATTTCTACACGGTATTAGAGTACAAATAAGGAACCTCCCCTAGTGTGGAGGGCATCAAATAATTCTGAGGGAATAGTAGATATTGTAGCTGAGCAAGGAATTATCCCTGCTCGAGGGTACCCTGTGTATCCTTGTTGGTTTCATTCACTGTAATCCTATAATCTGTGCTTGTTTCTTCTTTATCAGCTCTTTACTCCAACACATGACCATAAGGTGGAAAAAAAAAAAAAAAAAAAAAAAAAAAGATTGAAAGCTTTTGACCAACTATGTGCAGGGCCACCAATGGTGGCCACCTTTCTTTATTTTTAGTTTTTATACAAATTGGGAAGGAGGTCATCTATTAGACCCTCACTATTTAGTCACATACTGTACATGTGCCATTTTCCATCCGAACATGATGGAAAGCCTAATGAGAGGACAAAAATTGGTGTATTTTCAATAGTCAAGTACAAAAAACCATTATAAACTATAAAGTGGAAAAAATTCTACTTCATAGAGGCATGATGTATAATAACCTCAACTACCCTTTCCCCCCAAAATAAAAGAGGAATAAATAAGAATAAAAGTAAAATAGTTTCAAAGAGATAAATATCAAGATGGCCAACAATCAAATTGCAGAATATCATAGATTCAGAGATTTCATCTTTTTACCATAATGTTTATAAACCATTCTCAAACCTATAGAAGACATGTTAACCTCAAAATAAAATTCAACAAAGAAGATATCACAAAAAAGCATTATCCAGTTCTAATCATTCCCATAGTGGTAGAGGACCTATGATAATGTAAAAATAAAATTCAACTCAAGATTTCTTAAGTTTTTAGCACCACAGCTTCAGATGAAAAACAAAGCAGCCTCAAACTGTTTTAGAGTCATAGGATAGAAATTGCAATTATTAAAGCCTACATCACTGGCATGCATTAGATGATGCACCAAAACAAATCACCTAAAACTCCAAAACTCCACTATCCATTTCATTTCCACCAATGCTCTCAACCCACTTAAGGCTATTTACAGTTTCATTTCCAACCCTATCAACCATTTACATAAGAATCGATGTTTGATCCAATAGTTTATATTACCAACATAAAGATTACAAAATTAAAAAACAATCTTGCAGGAATGAGTTATAGCATAAAAACTTCTGCCATTTCAGCAGCCACACTACAAACCAACAAACCCATCATCCCCAAACACAACTTCACAATAAGATCTACAGAAACGTCTCTAAAAATCATCTGAATTTCACTTCCTACAATTTGTTTGCCCATCCTGACCAATCCACGCAAATTTCTATATTCCAGAACCACAATACAATTAAATAATTCATAATGCTATCAACAAAAATCCCACTACAAAAAAAAAAATTAAATATTAAGAAAAGAAGCAAACAAGCTGTACAAATGTTAGCGCACCAAAAGGTTAACATAAATTTGAGATTATTTAACAACGAATAATACATAAATTCGTCAATTTTTTTATTAAAAAAAAAATACATTTTAAACGGAGCAAAAGTATTACCTGTTGGCGAGTCGATCAACGACGAATTCATTGATAACATAGTTAAGAACTCTCTGTAAGAAAAACTTTCCTCCAGACATGATAATCTAAAAATAAATACAACAACAGATGGAAAAACGTAGCTAAAGATCGAAAACGTTGGCAGAACGGAAAACAAATTATAATAAGAAACTAAAAAGAGGTATTCAGTTGTTTAAATAAGAAACTTGTAGAGATATTAGGGTTCTGGAAACTTCATACTTCGAATTAGATTCAACGATTCTTATACGGAGGACGAAGCTGGGACCTGGGGCAAGAGTTAATTCCATTTTTAGTTCTATAAATAGCAGATCATTTTTAGTCTTTTTTTTTTAATATTTATTTTTGGTCTTTATATTATTGTGGTATGATTAGTTTTTATCCTCTATCAATAAAATAGTTTAAATTTTGTTAAATACGAATACATTTCGATTCTCAATTATAATTTTTATTTTTTAAATATAAACATAAAAATAAAATTATAACGGATCAACCTACTTTGTATAAAAATAAATTTTTAATGTTTTTATATTTAACAACATTTCAAGATTTTATTGACGGAGACAAAAAAAATCATGCTACAATAATAATAGAGCCAAATGAGGATGTTCTGATAACAAAAAAATTAAAAATGAACTACTACTTATAAATTTAAGATAAAAATAGAAGTAATTCTAAAAAAAAAAATTATTTTATTTTATTGTTTACTCTGCCTTTAGTACGAAATAAAGTGAGAATACAAAAATTATTTTTGGTGGGTGAAAATAGAATAATTAAAAATTTATTTGGTATATAGGAATTGAAAGAAAATAAATAGTTAAAAGTTAATATTTTTTTTCGTTGAAAGTGATCTGATATGTTTGTAATGAACTTATTAACAATGGTGGACCCACAGTGGGGGAGCTACCCTCTCCCCACACCCTACCCCCTTATATATATATATATATATATATATATATATATATATATATATATATATATATATATATATATATATATATTTTGAAAAAATAGCATTAAAATGACATTTTGAGTTATTATTTTGTGGTACAAATATATGTGGAATTCACTCCCGATTTGGGTCGGGTCAATGTGGATTCGGATTCTTTGTAGTGAGACGAAGAATTTGATATAATGTACGCTCAAAATGGGTAATAGGTGAATGAGAAACTAATTCTCAAAGTGAACCTATTAGAGAGACGTCAAAAACTCAAGTTTAGATGCTAATTAAAAATTAGAAAATTAGCATTTTAACAACTTTTGTTGCCTGACGAAAGTTTGTGTTAAAAGCTTAAGTGTGATCAAGCTTTGGAAAGTTTAATTGAAATTTGGGACAAAGGTGCATGGATAAGCTTAATTAAGCTTAAGAATTGTAAGCTTTAATTAGAAAGCTTAATTTGGGTTTGAAAGCACAAATTCATGTTGGCACAAGTTTCGTGGCTCAATGATGCATGCACGAAACTTGAAAGCTTATTTTTAAGCTTTCGTGTGGTGCCTTGATTTTTAATAATCTTTGGCTCCTTTCGTGCTCCTATTATGGCAGCAGCACGAGTCAATGCTTTATGCATTGATTCGTGCTGCACCATTATATTTCGGTGTTTGCGGACCATTCGGGTGTGATTTTTGGTCCCAATTTGTTAAATTTTCGGGTTTGTACGAACTTCTCGGTCACTCAGATATTTTGAACCAGGTCGTTATGGTCGGTACGAATTAATCGGATATTAAGTTCGTGACCGTTGATATTATTTCGATAATAAGTACGACCGTTTCAAACGTTATAATTCAATTTTTAAATTGAATTTATGTTGGTTAATGTGTCATGATGATGCTATTTAGTATCAATCTCCTATATAAACATGTTGTGGGAGCAACATTTTTGAATATAATGTTAGAAAGAAAGTGAGAAACAACACAAGAACACACACAAAGAAATTCTCTTTTCCTCTCAAAATTCTGCTCCTACTCCATTCTTGAAGCTGTGTTTTGCCCGTGCTCTTGTTCGCCGGGTTCGTTCGTTTGGGTGCTCAAACGTCGAACCGTTGTACGTTTTATCCTGGGAGACCTAGGCCACAACGCTCCTAGCACTTTTGGGAGGTGGCAAATAAGGTTTTAAGGAAAGAAAGGCACCTCGCCTAACTCGTACTAATCTTTCTTCCTCTCATTCTTGTTTTGGATTATGCTTTTAAGCAAAAATCCGTTCTCCCTCTTTTGATATATTCGTTTGATTGGACTTATAATCTGAGGATTATTAGTTCCAATTTTGGTTGATATATATTGGTATATCTTTTTCGTAGATATACATGTATATATAACCTTTGGGTCCGTTTTATATATATTTGTGTGTGTATATATATATATATATATATATATATATATATATATATATATATATATATATATATATATATATATATATATATATATATATATATATATATATATATATATATATATTTCGGATAAATATCCAATAATATTTTATATACTTGTGTGTGTATATAAAAATATTATTTTTGGGATATTAAATCGATTTTGGTTCATTATCACCAACAATATATATATATATATATATATATATATATATATATATATATATATATATATATATATATATATATATATATATATATATCATTAACTTATATATAAAATCTATATTTATGTACAAATTACTAAATATTTGAATAGCTTAGTTGGTTGGAACTTTAAACTTGATGTTAAATAGCTTATGTTACAAATTTGAATCTCACCAAACAAATAAAATGTTTTTTAGGGTGTGTTTGGAAACTCAAAAAATGATTTCTTCCGAGTTTCTAGTATTTGGCAATAAGAAAAATGAAAGTCAATGAAAAATTGATGGCGGGGAGGCAGCAAGCGATGCGGGCGGAGCAGCAATCACTCATAGTGAGGCTGTCACCCATGGGCACCGGGAATACTAGAATATTCTGTCAACTCTTTCAACGCACCAAGACAGTTTTCTAGAATGCAACCAAACACTGGAAAGTAAAATATTTTCTGGAGAATGACGCATTTTTCATAAAATATTTTCTAGAGGTCATTTTTATGTATTTCAAATACACTCTTAGTCCTAGCAGAAGAGAGCTTACCCGACAGAATTGGTTGGGGCTCAGATTTTAGTGAGTATTTTTCTATCAGATCGGCGTACGATATGCTGGTTAACCGCGAGCCAGCCATCGACGAGAGCAAGTGGCGAAGGATCTGGCGCCTACGCGTTCCGGCTAGAATATTTATGTTTTTGTGGCTCATTCGACATGGGAAGATCCTCACTAACGCTGAAAGAGGTAGGCTCAGGTTAACAACTAATATATGTTGCTTTCGTTGTGCAGGCTAGACGGAAGATTTGGACCATCTTTTCATATTCTGCCCTGCAGTGGACGGCATCTGGGAATCGGTCGTCCAGGGAAGGCTGAATGACCAACTTCGAACGATGACTTGGAATGATTGGCTTGAGATAAACTTGGAGGGAGAAGCGAGGCTGGGCTTTGGAGACGACTAGCCAGAGCGGTTTAGCACGCAACTATGGTGGATTTAGCGGTGGCGCAACAATGCAGTCTTTAGAGGGCAATACACGACAACGAGACTGAAGGTTGACTGACTCAAGTGGCCTTTGCGAAGCATCGACACCCAGCTATGGGACGCCCGACGCATACGACTGTTAGAGCGGGCTGGAGGAAGCCGGATAGTGGATGCTTCAAGCTTAACACGGATGGTTGCAGCAAAGGAAATGACGTAGCGGGATGTGGAGGCGTGCTCCGAGGCTCTAATGGGAATTGGTGTCGTGGTTTTACTTTCAACATCGGGCGATGCCGAGCTCTGGAGGCTGAAGCCTGAGGGATTTTGCAAGGTCTACGCATGGCGAAAGATTATGGCGCTACCAAACTGGAAATAGAATGCGATTCGAGGCAGATCGTTGAGTCCCTTCGACGGCCAACACGGCGCCACGTCGTCTCCAGCAACGTGATGAGGCGATGTATGGAAATGGCTGAGAAGTTCCCGGAGGTGGCTGTTACGCACGTCTTTAGGGAAGGCAATAAGGCATCGTATATTTTAGCTGCGGCGTCGCTCTCCCATGTTAAGGGGCTTCGAATCCTTTTTGACATGCCTCAGGTGGTAACTGACATTATTCGGCTCGACAAGCATGGTGCAAATGTATCCAGACATGTTCCCCAAGATATAACTGGGGTTTTCGATCGTCATTGAGTCCCTGGGTCTCCCCCTCCCTCCTCACAAAAAAAATAAAACACTCTTAGTCTACTTTTTATTAATCATTTAATTAATGTAGTATACAACTTTATATTATACTTCATTATATTCGAATTAATTTAGAAAAAATTAAAGTTGATCTAACTAAAAGAGATTAAAATTAAAAAAATATTTATGAATATCGAGTCTTCTCTTTTCAAATTATTATATCTAATTGATTATGTTTCATATTTTGTCATAAATATTTTTATAGCATTTCAAAATGTTTTAAAATTTCACATTTTTACCCCACTCAAGTATATTTTGTTGAAAATAATGAACCAAAGTCGATTTAATATCGCAAAATAATATTTATATATACACACGAAAGTATATATAGAATATTATTCGATATATATCCGAAATATATATATATATATATATATATATATATATATATATATATATATATATATATATATATATATATATCGGCCCCCACGGCTAGTATTTCTTATGCGCGATATGTAAAAAAATAAGTGTCCAATAATAATATTTTATATTAAAATTTTAAATTTATTTAGGCTTTAGATATAATAATAATAATAATAATAATAATAATAATAATAATAATAATAATAATAATAATAATAATAATAATAATAATCCTTTATATAATAAAACTATATGGTTTGGGAAATAATTAATGTTACAATTAATGCCACAACATCCTTTATTATAAAATAATAATAATAAAGCACAACATTTAAAAAATAAAATAGCTATATATTATATAATTATATAAAAAAATAACTTTTGAAAAATAAAATAGCTATATATTATATAATCATATAAAAAATGTGTTCAATTAGAGTTTAAATTTACACATACAAAATTTGAAATTTGCTTTCCAAATGTAATTATCTTAGTTATTATTGGTATTGTAAAAATTATAATATAGATGAAATACAATTAAGAATAAATCAATGTAATTATGTAAATTATCCCTATAAGTTTATTTGAATATGCACATAATTATAGATTATATTAACCATACAAAATTTTAATTTTAATTTTAATTTTGTATTCTATAAAAATAATAAATACTTAACCAATGGAAGCTCAAAAATATTATTATATTAAATAATTTAAAATATTTTAGTTTTTCTATTTTTATTTATATTTATAATAACATAATTTTTTTCCGTGCATCGCGCGAGTGAATTACTAGTAATAATAAATTAATAATAATGTAAAACATTTCTATAAATTTAATATTTATATTTTAAGAAATAACTAACATATAACCCCAATATATGTGTATATTATTATTATTATTGAAAATAAGAAAATATATGGTGGATGCATGTGCATGGTAGCAATAATGGAAAGATAACGAAAGGGTATAACCTTCCTGATTACCCTATGCATGAGAGAGAGCCTCTATACTATACAATTCAATAAACCTTAAAAGTGCTCTTGTATAAATAGTGGGACAAATCCTCTTTCCAAACTAATGTGGGACAAAAGCTTCACTTTTTTCCTTTATTTTTTCAACTTAATGGGTCTACTTTGCGAATCAATATCTCATTCACACATTATCCGTTTAGAGCGTACAATATATCAATCTTTTCGTCTTACTATGAAGAACCCGAATCCACTTTGACTCGACCCAAATTGGAAGTGGACCCCACTGATAATTGTACCACAAAATAGCTACTTAAAATGCCATTTTAATGCTATTTTTCCAACATATTTTTTATTCCACTACTAACTATCATGTAGTCTATCAAAAACATTCTATTATTTTTTGAGGGGAAAAAAACATTCTATTATAATTTATAATGTATTTATATTTGAACCTTATTATGGATGTTTGATATTTTTTCATTGACATTTTTAACATCATTTAAACTTGGCCCCCAATCAAATGATTTTCTTGGTCTGTCCCTGCTTACTAATGTCAGCCAAAAGTAATTAAACAGTTATGCAATGAAGCTATAGTGTATTAATTTACATGTTTTCCTTATATACATAATTGAGACCTCAATTATATTTATATGCACTATTGCAAAAATCGGTCTAAGCTCCTACTTAGGTCGTGGCGATTTTTCCTTTTGGCGTCCGCCTCAACCGAATTCGATCGAGTTAGCCAAGCTAAGTTAACCCGGCGGCTCGGCCTTGCTATTTCATTATATATATATATATATATATATATATATATATATATATATATATATATATATATATATATATATATATATATATTGTAAGTGTACAAATGATACATGTTTTTACCTATTTATATTAGCTAAATCATTTGTCAAAACTTAGGTTCGTTATGCTGTGCAATTGTGTGCACCATGCATGGTGCATACAGTTGTAAAAACGACGTCGTTTTGACTTCCGAGTTAAAAAAAAAAAAATCAATTTCGATCGCAAAATTATTAGGTTGAGAAAATAGTTTATGAACAGATACTACATTGTAATAGAGTCAGTAATATTCAAAAATTCAAAAAAAAAATTGTGGTAAATTTGAAAATGTCACATAATTACACTAACATTTTTGTATTTTTTTTAATGCTACTGACTCTATTACATTGTAATATTTGTTCAAACATACTTTGTCAATCTAATGAAACACACAGAATTAACAACGCCTCCTAAACGATCAAAATTTATTCTTCTAAAGTTTCACCTCTGTGACCAGTTGAGCTGCCCATGGGGGTAAACGATTAAAATTTATGAAATGACAACTGGTGGTTAAATTTTGAAATTTAAAAAATCACAGAGAATTAACTTGAAAGGTTATAACTAAACATGAAAATGTCACTATACTTACCCCCAACTTGCATTAACTCAACAAATCCTATATCATAAACAATGGAGCAAAAACATTATTCCTTTCACATGATTGACTAATGCCAGGGCCAACTAATTCATTGATGCAAATAATTTGAAGAAGTAGCATCTTTCATGCATGTTCATATTTCCTTGGCTACAAAAATGCATAAAGAATGCGGTTCCAAGTATCAGGGAGTCCCGGCAAACACCAGTGTATGCAATCCGCATATCGCCAAGGCTCTGCTTTCTGCCCATCACTCAACACTCTGTCTTCCGAGTCTGAGTAAACCGATGAATGAGCATCCACTCTATACTCTGAGAGCTGTGTGATATTGATCAAAGTAACTGGGACTTTCATGCTTTGCACCACGCTTTCCACCACCTTCATCATCTCCTTGTCCGAACCGCTTCCCCAGTACCCTTCCTTCGTCACCGGCCTCGTCTCGTTGTAACATCTCATCCTACCTTCCTTGCCCCAGTCTTCACTCCTGAGAAGCATATGAGTTTAAATTTTTAGTTGAAACGAAATATATTCTTCAACTGTGTTGTCCAGTACCATGTGGCTAGAGGATTGCTGGATGCAGGCTGGTAAAGTAAAGGGTCTAGCACTTTAGTTCTCAAAAATGTGCGAGGCAGTATAAGGAAATAAAGTTGGGCTTTCGTTACGAGCTATAACTTTTGACATAGTGGTAAGCGCTTGATCCTAACAAGTAGTATTACTGCCAGGGTTAGAAGGGGAATTGTTGGGCGAAAGTCAGTAAGGACCAAGTCCAACACCACGTGGCTAGGGGGATTGTTGGGCGGAAGCCCGGTAAGAGCCAAGTCCAGCACCACGTGGCTAGGGGATTGTTGGGCAGAGGTCGGTAAGGCAAAGTCCCGCACCATGTGGTTAAGAGATTGTTGGGTGGAGGCCAATAAATGGCCAAGTCCAACACCCTAGTTAAAAAAAGTGTCTGGCAATATATATAAAAAAAAAGGAAAAATTGTAATTTATGTCCCTCTATAATATGCAAATTATCAATGTCACACATGAATTATTAGTGGTGTAAATGTTGCAGTTCAATTTTCAAAACGGTACATATATTTCACTTCCCCTACCGTATGTGAGGGGCAATATATTTACTGTTTTTAAAAAATGAAGGGCAACATTTACACTACGGGAGGGTACTATATGTACCTTTTTGAAAATTGAGGGACAACATTTACACTCCTAATAATTCAATGGTGACATTGATAATTAGCATATTATGGAGGGGCATAAATTACAATTTTCCCTAAAAAAAAATAAAATAAAATTGTGCCTTCGCTATGAGATATAACTTTAGGCATAGTGTTAAGCACTTGATCCTAACAAGTGGTATCAAAGTTAGAGCTGGAAATTGTTGGAAGGTGGCAAGGCCAAATTTAACACCATGTGGCTAGGAAAATTGTTGGGCAGAGGTCGGTAAGGGCCAAGTCCAACACCATGTGGTTAATTAGACGATTGTTGGGGCGGCGGCCGGTAAAGGGCCAAGTCCCACACCTTATTAGCTCTCAAAAAATGTGTAGCAGTATAAGGAAATAAAGTTGTGTTTTGATTATGAGCTATAGTTTTTAACGTAGTAATTAACGCTTGATCTTAACAAGTGGTATTAGACCCTGGGAGGGAATTATTGGGCGAAAGTCGATAAGCCAAGTCTAGCACTATGTGGCTAGGAGGATTGTTGAGGGGAGGTCGGTAAAGAACCAAGTCCAGCACCCTAGATCTCAAAATGTGTGGCAGTATAAAAAATTAAAGTTACGCCTTCAGTACTAACTATAATATTTGGTGTAGTGGTAGGTGCTTAATTCTAACAAACTATCATGGCTTGGCTTTACCTCTGGTGCGCGGGGGACATTGTGGTGAAAAATACACGCGTTTTAGTATGATCTATAGCTGAATCTATCCAGTTTGCCCATGTTCTGAGTGCTAATCTGTAAGATAAAGGTGCATCAAAGGATTCATAGCCTTCTTCACCATCTCCAAATGAGCCCCAACTGCATTTGATTAAAATAGATTAGAATCTTAGTCAAAAACAATATTGCTTAGCTTAAAGAGAAAATATATAGTTGGCTAATTAAGGGAGGAATAATATAATGCTGATCGATAGAGGCCTTACAACGACTTGATCTTCAAGCCAGTCATCCACCAAACATAAGTATTGAAAACAAGGATATCTGCTCCTACCCACATTTCTGCACGCTTGGCTATTGAGTCAACTTTTATGATTCTCTCATCTGCATCTGCTTTTATAGGAATGTCAGTGTTGGACTCCACTAGATATGGTGCCCAGTAGAACTCAATCGTCGCGTCATATTCCTGACAAACAATTGAAGATTAAGTGTGAAGCCATTGATATATAGGAAATTCACTTTTTCCGACCACTTTTTTTGGTGGTCGGAAAAGTGGTCAGAAAATTGAAAATTTCCAACAGTGATAGATAGCATAGGGGAAAAATACATATACCTTAGCTTTGTAGACAGAATGAACACTGCCTCGTTTCAAGGATCTCTTGCCTTTAGGAATCACAGAATCAACCAGGCAAATGAAAGACTCCCATTGGTTCCTTTGCAGTGAATCTCCTACAAACATTAGCCTCTTTCCCTTGATTTTCCTCAGAGCAATCTCAGGATCAAAACTACACATGCATTAAACATTGCATTGAAAACTTGTTAACTACAATGAGTTCATATTATTAAAGTAAAAACACATTAATTCTTGAATGATCCCTTAGCTTAGGTTTGTCACCTTGGCAAGGTGCAGTCATCTGGCTGCCATACCCAGCGAAGGTAATCCGAATCGTTTCGACCATTCTTGACACACGCAAATTTTCTGTCAATATATCGACAAGTTGTGTCTGAGTATAAAGGCTCGATAGAGCGATTAAAAACCCATTTCCCTTGCGTAACACTGCATTCATCCGGATCAACCTTAAATCCATCATTTACTGCACCATTAGCAATTACACTGCCTTCCAATTTTCTATCATCTGATACCCAAAACTTATGTTAGTAGCATCACTCATCTCATATACTCTAACACCCTAATACTATACAGATCAGAGTAAATGGCTAAAGATACACACTTGTAACTATAAAATCACGAGGGCGGGGTTTACCCAGTCCACACCCTCGGGTTTCACTGCTGAAAATTATGGAATTTTCGACCACCTGAAAATGATCTTAAATCAAGTCAAAAGCCTTGTTCCGACCACTTTTGTTATCCGGAAAAACATTTGTTGTTATTTCCGACCACTTGATATAAGATACTTTCAGGTGGTCGGAAATTCCATAATTTCCAGCAGTGTTTCTCTCGTCACAAAAAAAAAAAAAAAAAAAAAAAAAAAAAAAAAAACGCAAGCACGCACCTGCTGTGGATTTCTTAGACTTGGTAGGCCTAATAAACTCGGTTTTGGAAGAAAGAAGACTAATTCTTTCAGTGTACAAGAGGGCAACGAAGGCAAAACTGCACACAGTGGCTGCAATTACTAGTAAAGATGACTTTCCTGCTGAAGGTTTCTTTGCGACAGCCATGGCGATAGAAAGGTAGTGCAAGCTAAGGGCAATAGGATGATGAGACCACAAGAATTAATTAATGATGTTGGTTGAATTGATACATACTTTTAAGTTTTTTGGAGTAGGAGTGAAACAAAAGAATACTTATTCTGTTGGGACATTCTATTCTTGTTTTGGTGGAGGTTAGTGAGCAAGCTGCAACTTGCAAGAATGATAGATGTTCCTTAATCCTTAATTATCTGCTAATATATTATGTTATTCATAATAGTTTAGTAGTAGTCTAGTCTGACCACCCTCCTTAATTGATGTAATAATACTCACCCACTTCCAAATTTTGTGACTAAAAGTAGTCATTAACGCTAAATGGTAAAATAAAAACTTCTCAAAGCCTTAAACAGTGGGGTATATTTTGGTTACATCATCAATTCAACCGTCATCTTAAATCTTATCTAAATATATTATTAATATACATCTCATGCATGCTATTTTGGTTAACATAGGCACATAGCCAAAGCTTATACTTATTTAATTTGTCAAAATAATAATAATAATAATAATAATAATAATAATAATAATAATAATAATAATAATAATAATAATAATAATAAAGGCTTATTGGTAAAAAAAAATACCCAAACCTTTACAATTTGTTCTGCTTATATCTAGACCTTAAAAATTTGACAATTTAATACCAAATATTTATATTTTGTAGTAATTTTATCCAATTATACCACCCAACCCATCATTAGGATGCCCCAACTCAACAAAGACTATTAATTTTTTACAACTAAATTACCACACTATCATACGATTTGACATTATTATCATAATTTTTTTCATTTATGGAGAATTGCAAACTAACGTACAATGATTTTTTTTTTTCTTATTTCTTCACATGGAGATGCTTTTCTTGCAATGTTTAATAAAAAATTTTACTATTTTATTTGAATAACAAATATTAATTCCTTATTTGTTGATTTTATAATCTTGAAATGCTACTTCCTAAAGTATATTAATAGTGCAATACCAATGTATCAAAAAATTCATTCTACACTTTTTTAAAGAATACATACACATCGTCTAAAATTAGTGCTTTAAAAAAGTCATAATACAATATCCAAATAAAATAATAAGAGTGTGTTTGGTTCATGGGTTTAGCTATCAGGAATGGAAATCAAAGTCATAATTATTGTTTTGGTTGACAGGTTTCTAGAGCACTACTATGTGATTTGATTACTCTTTTTTTTTTAAGTGCTTTTTTATTTTTTATTTTTTTTTTTTGTTCATATTGGTACTTTGGATCTCTTTATATTAGAATAAATTGTTTTAATTTTTTTTTTTTGTATTTTTAAAACTTTTATTCCCATTATAGGATCATACATAACCAAACAACAATATTTGTAATCATTCCAATTTCACCCTACTAGCAAATTAAACACGCAAAATACATTCACCAAAATTCATTACCACTATCAAGTATTTGATTCTCATTCCAATTTCGATTCCCATGTGCGAACAACACACCCTAAATTTATTCCGTATTATTAAGCATGGAGAAAAGCATCTCCAAGCATGGTTGAAAATTTTGTTAGTTCTGACCAATATTTCCATCCAACATAAATATTGGTCAGTATTTTAATTTGTAAAAAATCAATATTTTAATTTGTAAAAAATCACAACTTTCAAAGGTTGAAGATAAATGAATGGTAAGTTAAGTTGGTTGGAATTTCCTTCTAACATATAGTGTTGGACATAAATGAGTGATGATTTTAGTAAAAAAATTTATGAGGTCAATTTTATAATTATTACAAACTTTTAAGTTTGTAATATTTATTTATTTATTTATTTTTTCCTTACTTTTTAGAAACTCTCAATCGTTGATCTACCTAAATATATAGATGGATCAGATAAATCATCATTTTTTACGTGGGAGTCTGTTAAACACTGCTAGACAATCTTTGTCACTTAGTTGTGTTGACGAAATAGAGTTGTTGTCATATGCACTGAAGATGATGAATATAAAGACAACTTTTAACATTCTGTAGCTAGTAATGGATCAAATATTTGAGTACAATAATAAGGTATAATGGGTCTATATAATCAAGTACCATTTAGGTATTACAATTCAGAGAAATTGATTTCAAAGTTTGGTCTTGCTCATGAAAAGATTGATTGTTGTGTTAATAATTGTATGTTGTACTATAAGTCTGATATCAATGAGAGACATTGTAAGTTTTGTGGCAAGCCTCAGTTTAAATCACAGCCGCCTACTTGTACTTGTGGGAAAGAAATTCCAAAGAAAAAGATGCATTACTTGCCTTTCATCCCTAGATTGCAGCGATTGCATGCATCACCTGCTAGTTCAGCTGAGCACATGAGGTGGCATTATGAAAATCAGAGCCAACCAAGTATTATGTGTCATCCTTCTGATGGTGAAACGTGGAAACACTTTGATACTCCATATCTTGACTTTGCAGTAGATTCTTATAATGTTAGACTAATTAAGTTTGTGTGTTGACGAGTTTTGTCCATTTGGTTTAAATGTTAAATCATATTTTTGTTGACCGGTTATGGTTGTTCCATATAATATTCCACTTTCAATGTGTATGTGTAACAACCCAAAATATTTTTCCTAAATTCCTATTTTATAAAGTTTCGAAATAAAATTATTTTATTTCTACGATGATTTATTTCCTAAAATTTTGAGCCAACAGTCTATTCGAGACGAACTCGTATTTATTCTTATCAGTTTTCTATCCTAAATGATTTAATTCTTAAGCCCAAATGTGTTTAATCTAGTCCAATGTTTTGATTGAGCCCAAATGATTTATTGTGAGCCAAGTGTAGTTTATTCTTGTCCAAAATTGTAAGCCCAACAATTATTTATTCGCAAATGCAACCGAATGCACCTTGCAAGGTGCATACAGTTGCAAAACGGCGCCGTTTTGGTTAAAAAAAACGCGCGTCCCACTCAAAGAAGAAATCAGGTTCGATTCCCGGCAATAGCATTTTTATATATCCAAAAATTCATAACTATATATCCACAAATTCATAACTATATATCCACAGTGAATGAATGAAGTAAAAATCCACAATGAATGAATGAATGAAGTAAAAATCCACAATGAATGAACTAAATATCCACAATGATTGAACTAAATATCCACAATGAATGAACTAAATATCTATAAATTCATAACTATATATCCAGAAATTCATAACTATATATCCACAGTGAATGAATGAAGTAAATATCTACAATGAATGAACTAAATATCCACAATGAATGAACTAAATATCCATAAATTCATAACTATATATCCACAAATGTATAACTATATATTCAGAAATTCATAACTATATATCAACAATAATGCTATTGCCGAGAATCGAACCTGATTTTTTTTTTTTTAAAGTGGGACGTGCGTTTTTAGTTAAAACGACGTCGTTTTGCGTCGTATGCACCATGCGCATGGTACATTCGGTTGCACGGCATAACTATTGTTATTTATTGAATCTAAACTGTCTAGCCCAACATTTTGACCCAACCCAATTCTATACCAATAATCTAGCCAACCACAATGTCTAGCCTAGCCCAAATTAGTTATATTATTATTTTGTCATTTAACATCTATACTATTATTTTTTTGGACACTTTTAGTATTTCTCATGATTTTTTCTATTTTTTGTAAGGACATTTTTATCCCTTCATTTTTTTTTGTTAATTTTTCGATTTCAACCGATTTAATTGGTTTAAGAATTTACTAAAAACCTAATTGCAAAATATTATTACTACAAATAAATTACTTCAAGTTCTAAACCAATTAAATCGGTTAAACCACAACGTGCAGCAATAATAACGAAATAAGTTCACAAAGTAACAAAACTAGGATTTCAACCTTTTAACCCCTCTCTTGTTCTCAAAAAATAAATAAATAAATAAAAACCTTTTAACCCCTCTCTAGTCTCTTCGCTCTCAAATCTGCGAACTCGTCAATACAATACCTTTCTCGAGGTTGCAAGCGTTGAGAGTAACAATGATGGATCGTTCTCAGCTGCTTCTAGTGGGGCTGCCCCTCTTCCTCTTCTGCTCCGATGTCTTCCGCCTGTTTTCTCCGCCGCCTCCAAAGCCTGCCGCCCATCACTACTCACCGCCTGCGCCGCTCATCCAACAGCCTCAAACCCTAGATTTCCCCACACAGGTCCCCTCGAGATTCTATACTTTTCTATGTATTTGTGTGTGTGTCTATCTATTATATATGAGTAATGAAGTTTGACGGTGATCATTTGTGTTGAATTGCAGTCTGCTAGTGGTGGGATTGGTGGAATCGGCCTAGGCAACACTGTCAATATTGATTTCTGCTCTTCTTGCTCTTACAGGTTTTCTATTCTTCTCATTAATAGCATATTACTCGCTTTTTATTTTTATTTTATTTACTTGGATCAAATTGTTCACTTCATTTTACTGCGAGTATTATTTTCACCCCTTCTTTTTCTTCGATCATAAGAATGGGATGTTGCAAAGTTATGCTTTCATGAAGGTTTGGGCTTTAAGCTTGGGTTCTTATTGTCCTAAAAGGTAAAAATTAACCATATTGTGCCAAAAAAATGATAGAAATTGGAAGAAGAGTTTTTCAGATATGTACACAACGTATGGAAGAGTTTTAACTCTTTCAATGGTAATATTGTGCCTTAACCGGTAATAAGGACATTCGAGAGAGTGTAGGCACGCAGGTCAACACCATTGGAAGATTTGATGTAATGTTGTATAGGATAACAGCACATCCCACTAGTAATCCAATAACACGTCCTGACACATCTTGAGTTCTAATCTTTCCTTTTTTATTACTCCTTAATTTTTTTTAATATTTTCAGCATATATGATATATGATGGTGTAAATTTTATGTTTTTTGTTCGTAAAATCCCATCTATTTTTGTTCTTAATCACATTTAGTAATTGCAAATCAAATCAATGTGCTTTTTCCTTTTTCCCTTAATCCCTTCTGCTTGGCGGTTGTGTGAACAAGCCCATACTTTGATTTGAGTCAAGATAACTATTGTCTTAACACATTCTTTTTCTTTTTCATTTCTGTTTCCCTATTTATTGTCCTTGCATTGTGTAAGTTCCTTTTTTCCTTTATATTATTTTTGCAGAGGTACTGCTGTGACAATGAAAAACATGTTGGAAACTCAGTTTCCTGGCATTCATGTTGTTCTTGCGAACTACCCTGCTCCATTTCCAAAACGTGTGCTAAGCCAACTGGTTCCCATTGTTCAGTTTAGCGTTATTGGTATTATAATGGCTGGTGATCAAATTTTTCCAAGGTTGGGTTTTGCTGTTCCTCCTCCATGGTATTACAACTTGCGTGCAAATAGATTTGGATCTATGGCAAGCACTTGGCTTCTAGGAAACTTCCTTCAATCAATGCTGCAGAGTTCTGGTGCATTCGAAGTGTCTTGTAATGGCGAACTGGTAATGTCTTTTTTTTTTTTGTTTCCTAATAGTTTGACTTCTATTGTCTTGTCTTATATATTTCTTATTTTTTGGTGCATGTTTCTTTGGTGAGCAAATATTCTTTTCTACAAATGTCGTATAATTTACTTGAGTTCCAGAGAAGCATTTTCTTCAGAGAGACAAATATGTCCTCTTATGTCATCAACTAAGTAGCACCATTTTTAAAGGACTCATTTGAGATTTGCATTTCCATTTGCTTTGATCTTGTAAATTCTGATGCAAGAAAATCTGACACGAACTTTCAAAACCCTGCTTTTAACTCAGCACTCATTTAACCAGTAACTTTTTATAGTTGTTAACTTGTTCGACATGTTGAACTGCATATACTTTATCCCATAGCAGAATATATAAGTTGAGGTCTGGATAAGACCCCAGTTCTTATTGGCAGATTTTGTGCCATAATCCGTTTGCATTCAAAATCATCTTTGTTTGATTCTTCTTGAGTTTTTTTCCAGAAATGTTGCAGAGAATAAGATTTATGAAGCGAATTATCCTTTTTTCGGGCAGGACACCAACTCTTGCCATGCTACATATAAGTGTTCTCTGATATTGTGTTTTCACTTGTATGGTCCAGGTTTTCTCCAAGCTTAAGGAGAAGAGGTTTCCTGGCGAAATTGAGTTGAAAGATCTTGTTGGCAGAAGAATTGCAAATGTAAGGGCGACAGATGATTTTCTATTGAACTCTCGAAGGGGATAATTTTTATTTCACACATTGTAGAAGGAAAAAAATGTTGTTTTAGCATATGTATAATTCCTTGTTTTTGCAGTTTACTTTTGAGTTGAGTTGTTATGGTCCAATGCACCTTTTGTAAATTTAGACACTTTTTAACTGCTACATTCACAAGTTCATAAGTTGTCATAGTACCTAATGCTGAATCTTCTCTAGTTCTTTCTCATAAATTTCATCTTGTTTTTTAACTGAAATAAAAATGCTTCTGGCTCTGCTCTTACTAGATAATCTTCTTGGCATGAAAATCAAGCTTGGCAGTGAAGCAATCTAATTTAATTTATGGGAAGAAAATCATCTTGATTTCGAAGTTTAGGAGGAACTAAAAGTTGCACTATAATTTTATGTTTTTCATTTCTTTGCCCAAAGTGATTATGGTTTATTGACTGAAATGGGGCGACCTGAGAATATATAGATGGATTTTAAATTTTTAATACAAATAAATGAAATTAGTTTGAGAAATGTGTATTGGTCAGTAACATATTTTTTTAAGAATAAGAATCAAATAGGCCATGTAACTTTTATGAATGAACAATGTAATTAAGTCATCAAATTCTAAAAAAAATTAAATAAACTATTGAACTTGAAAAAAATGATGTAATTAAATCTTTTTTTACTCACTATTGCATTTTAAATTTCATATTTCCCATGGCTACTATGTCGCAACTTCATCTTGATTGCCATGGTAGTCAAAAACTATGGAATTTAAAAAAAATAAAAATAGAGAGAGATGGGGAAGAGGTGAGGAGTAGAGTAGATGTCTTCGCGGAGACAAACATTGACAAAAATTCTATAGTTGCCTTAGTAGCCTCACCTTAGCTATCATGGCAGCAGCAATTGAGATGGAATTAAAATAAAATGGGGAAGAAGAGATGAGGAAGAGATTTGAACGAATTAGGTTAAAAAAGAAAATAATAGTTGACATCCAAATTAGTAATAAAGAGATGAGTTGGCGTTCAAATATTTGAGGTGACATCCAAGGGACCAAGTCAGCTATAACATGTTGTTAACTTGCTTTAGGGGGTAAAAAGGGTTTAATTGCATCATTTTTTCAGCTATAACATGTTGTTAACTTGCTATAGGAGAGAAAAAAAGTTTAATTGCATAATTTTTTTCAAGTTCAATGGTTTATTTGGAGCTTTTTAGAGTTTGATGACTTATTGCATCACCAGATGTATAAGCATGTGATAATATATGTATAATTAGGTGTCTACGTGAATTATGTGCTTCATTCTTTAAAGTTCAATGGTTTATTTGGAGCTTTATTTTAAAATAGCCTAACAATAAGAAGGGAAGGAGGATTCTTTATTTTCAGATTTGGAGACGAAGGAGGGAAGAATAACCCACCCTTTGAGAAGACGATGTTCATAACGGCTTACTCTAAACGGCTCACACTTTGAACTCTTCTTAGCACTAGGTAGCTCTTTTCCCCTTTGGATGACTTCACTTTGGACCTTATCAAGCACCAGATAGCCCTTTCCTAGGTCGCCCCCTCCGCTAGGCGAACATCGGATGAGTGGACGACTTCACTCTGGATAGCTTTCACTCCGGACTCTTCTCGATTACCTTTGAACCTTATCAAGCGTCGGGTATTCCTCTTCCAGGTAGCCATTTCCCACCACACTCATGCCTCTCAACAAGAGCACCAAATAATACGGCACTCAAGTCAAAACCCTAACTCTACCACAAAAACTAGCTCATGAGTAGAGGTTTGGCCCTAACTTTGCCTTCAATCTTTTTATTATTAAAAAATAATTCCCTTCATCGTCTCCAAATCTAGAGACGAAGGAGGGAAGAAAGCATCCATGACGGTTAGCCATGGCTGCCTTCAATGTTTTTTTTTTTTAAGTAAATATTAATTTCTTATTTTTAATTAGAAATAATGACATGTCCGCCACCACCAACATTTATAGGCAATTAACCATTTTTTACGTCTGAGTGCACGAAATTACAAGCTGATGTGTTTAATTGCTACTTTGAAAAGTTTAGAAATTTAATTAACTTATTGTATAAAGTTAAAGAGCTTATTTGACGTTTTAAAATGAGTGAATTGCATTTTTGGTCCTACTGTTATAGAGGCGTTTCCAATTTTAGTCCACCTTAATTTTTTTTGCCACTTTACAACCACTGTTATTGAATGTGTTCCACTTTTAGTCCACCGTTAATATTTCCGTCAAGAGGCCGTATAATTCACGGGTATTTTGGTCTTTTTATAGTTGTCTCTTCTCTTCTAATCTAGGCGCTTCGTCCTCCTCCTCCGATATTCGAAGATGGCTCTTCGAACAACGAGAATGGGAAGCCAAAGCTACATCGTTTCGTTCGTTCCAACGTGGACCGGCGAGGTTTCTTAGGTTTTAGGTTTAATGTTCTCATTTCTTTTAGTCAAACATGGTCTTGGATGAGAAGAAAGATCAAAATACCCCTAGATTACACGACATCTTGATGGAAGTACTAACGGTGGACTAAAAGTGAAACACATTCAATAATAGTGGTCATAAAATGACAAAAAAATTAAGGTGGACTAAAATTGGAAACACCCTTATAACAGTAGGACCAAAAATGGAATTCACTCTTTTAAAATTTTATAATTGTCCCAAGTTTGGCTAGATTTTTTACCAAAGGATCAAAAGTGGCTAAAAACCTAAGATAAGATAGTTTGTGACTAAAAGTTGTTATTTTTATAGTTGAGAGTAAAAGTGGTAAAGCCACCAAAGATAGAGCACACAAAGTGGAATTAGTACATTAAATTGTGTTAAATGTACTAGTATTTTCACCCGTGCATTACACGGAATAGATTTTTTATAATATTTTAAAGATATTTGGATCGATATACAATTATATATTGTACGCTCAAAACGGATAATGGGTGAATGACAAATTGATTATCAAAATAGACCCATTTGAGTTGGAAAGTAAAGGTGGAAAGACTTTATAAAAACACTTGTCCCACATTGGTTTGGGAAGTAGGTTTGCATCACTATATATACAAGAGCATTTTAGAGGCATGTTGAATTGTATAGCATAGATGCTCTCTCTCGCGTGCACGGGGTGCAAATCAAATTTCATAATAAGCCTGAAAAAGGCTTGACTTGTGTACGTCCGCAGGCGGGCACGAATAAGTTATGCCAACTTTTTGAAAATTTTCCAACAATTTTAGCCACTGTCCGAGCAGTGACCACTCAACCTTGCAAGTGACTACCATTCGGACTTGGGGATCATTCTGCCATCTAACTGAAAGGTCATGTATCGTAACCTTCCTGGTACCATTCAGAGTAGTTACCTTTCGAACTACTCACGTTTCGAACCACTCTCTGGATACTGTTCGCAGTACCATTTTAGGTATTAATTCTGATGTTACGAAATTAATTTCAATTTAATTCCAATTTTAACTTTTAGAATTAATTCCCAGGTTAATGGTTGTGTGTTATGGTTTATGGATATACAATGACTGATTTTATTATCAGTTTTAATGCCATGATTAAATGTTATTTTTCCCCACTTCTCCTATATAAGCCCTTGGTTGAGCAGGTGATTTTACAAAACTGAAAATCCAAGCTTTCTCTCTCGAAACTCAACATTCCTGTGTTCAATGTCGTGTTCTAGTTCATCGGGTTTATTCGCTTGAGTGCTCAAACGTTTAACCGTAGCTTGTTTTATCTTGGGAAACCTAGGCTACAATGCTCCTAGCACCTTTGGGGGTAGCAAATAAGGTTTTATGGATAGTGTGGGTATCACACGACTCAAGCTAACGTGACCCTTTCTCCTTTCGGTTTTTGTGCTTGTTATTTTTGTGGAAATAATCCTTTTTGTAGGATTATATTCCTAACAAGCTTAAAACCTTATTCTCTTTGATTTTCCTTGAAGAAAATGGAGAACCCCGTATTGCCAGTCCAGAAATATTAACTATTCCAATCGTCTTCTGCAATTTAAGAAATGTCTCTGTCTTTAACGATTTCGTAAAAATATCTGCAATTTGACATTCACTTGAACAATACTCAATGTTGATTTGTTTTCCAGCCACCAACTCTTTGATTTTGTGATACTTGATATCAATGTGCTTGTTGCGACCATAAAAGACAAGATTCTTGGATAACGAAATTGCAGATTTGTTGTCATAGAAAATAGTTGTAGGTGCTTCTTGTTTGTGTTGTAAAATCTCCAAAATTCTCCTCAGCCAAACTACTTGAGTAGCACAATTTGCCGCTGCAATGTATTCTGCTTCTTGGGTTGAGGGTGCTACAATCTGCTGTTTCTTTGGAGCCAATAAAATATAGCATATCCAAGATAGAAGGCATATCCTGATGTGCTTTTTCTAGTCTCAACATCTCTAGCCCAATCACTGTCTATATATTCAACAAGTTTCACAGTTTCATTAGCAGAGTAAAAAATTCCATCATTGCTTGTACCTTTGACATATCTCATAATTTGCTTTGCTACAGCCCAATGTGATTCTTTTGGTTCCTCCATGAATTTGCTAAGTATCCCAACTCCAAAAGAAATATCTGGCCTTATAGACACAAGATACCTCAAACTCCCAATTAAGCTTTTATAAGTTGTAACATTCACATTTTTACCACACTCATCTTTGAAAACCTTCAACTTTTCAACTACCGAAGTTGAAAATGATTTGGAGTTTTCCATTTTGAACCTTTTCAAGATATCAACAACATATTTCTTTTGTGATATAAAGATACCACTATCCATCTGAACAACTTCAAGACTAAAAAAGTAACACATAAGTCTCACAACATGGTCATACTTCACTGGCATAGTTCGAAGAACTTTTTCAACCACTGCACCATCTTCAATCATATCTCCAAATAACGTCATCTTATTCACCAAATCAATAAGACGAGTGAAATACATATCTACTGTTTCTGTAGAGGTCATCTCACAATGATCATACAACCTTCTCAACGACTACAACTTAGACTTATGTGCCCGATCGACTCCTTTGTGTGACACCTTTAAGATGTCCCAAGTTTCCTTTGTTATTTGAGCACCAACTAATTGCCCAAAAATAGAATAATCAACACCTCGGTGAATCTGTTTGAAGGTCAATTGATCTCTTCGTATAGCAGTTGCATCAGCTCCTTCTGGTAGATCGAGATCACCCAATCATTATGCTGTGCATCCGTATGCACCATGCATGGTGCATACAGATGTCAAAACGACGTCGTTTTATTAAAAAACGCGC